TACTTTCTACGGTGGTGTCAAACACTCGCGACTTGGCGACGCGTCCATAGAGACGTAACTAAATCACGGAGGGGTCAGTTCGCGGTGAGTATGTCTGCCAATCTTTCAGCAGGGTTAGTACTACCGGCCGCGTCCCAGGGACGTCGAAATCGGGCGGACTAAATCCCTCCTACCTCGCCTACCTTATCCGTCGGCCGTGTATTGAAAATTTTCCCTGGCCGGCTCGCCCGCGGGCCGCGAACGCGATCAGGAGCGAGCGTTTCCCGAAGGTGAGACGCCGCTCCTCGTCGGGGAAGAAATGCATTTCGTGGCGCGAGAGCGCCAGCCCGAGAACGAAGTCGGTCGAGATCGAACCCTCGCCGCCTGCCATCGACGGACGATTCCGGCGCGGCGCTCGACGCGACAATTTTTCTTTCACACGAGAGAGGAAAAAAAAAGATGGGGGAGAGACGAGAGCGTGGGCCCGGCCTCTGCGCTCCTGCGTCCTGGCTCGTGTTAGATTGCTGTGGAAGGCTTTATATCCACTTTAGTCACCGACCGTCAAGCAATCATCCTATTGCCGGATTGTAGTATCATGAATGACCGTAAGAAAACGCTTACCGGGTGGCAGGCGGCCGCCACGCGAGTTCCCCTGAAATATTGCGCGCCGTTGACTCGCGCCATCGTATTCCCACGGTTCGTTCCGCGCGGTGAAAATCATCCCCGCCGTCGCCGCCGCCGCCGCCGACGACGACGACGACGACGACGACGACGACGCGTCAATTCCAAAGCGACTATCGTACAATAATAATTTATCGTGGTAGCGCGGCGTGTGAACCCTCCATTAGGTAGTCGTCGTCGTCCTAACGCGGCGAGTTCGCGTTCCCCTCCCGCCGCCCCCCGGTTTACCGTCGCTCCAAGGAGCGACACACGGAAATAATTTGGCCCTATCAAATCTCATTTACGCTCACGGCTCATTTCGTCAATTTATTCGCGTCCGGTGGCGACATTTCAACGTCTTCGACGCCCCGCTATCCTGCCCGGCGACGTGAAAGGCGGAGAGACGCGCTCCGGAGGATCCTCGACCCGGCCTCAAATCGTCGATCGCTGCAGTTTTGCGGACGCCCGTCCGCGATCTCGCGCCCTCGCTCTTTCTCTCTGTCTCGAGTAGTTCCGGAACCGGAGCTGGTTACCGCAATTAAAATGGCACGGTACGGGTTTATCTGTTCTAAAGTTAAGTCATATCTGCAAAAGGGGCGGAAAACGATCGCAGATACGGTACGTTGGCCCGTATCACCGGCAGCGATCTGAAACTGGTTTCGATCGACGGCGCGGCGCGGCTCTCTGACGTAGGGAGCCGCGACGGCGGCGGCGACGGCTCTCGTTTTCTTATCCACCTAGTATGCATACATCCGGCCGATCTGTACTCCGGCAACTTTCCTACTTCATTCATGGACGCATTCAGTGGCCTTTGAAGGTTGCACCGCGGAAAGGAGTGGTGGGCACGGGTCTCCGCGCGGCGCGACGCGCGCGGCAAGGCGGGCAGGGACGTAATTAGGGGGGAAGCTTTGCGGGAGAGGAGCCGCCAGCGACGTTGTACGGTGCGCACGTGTGAGAACCACGTACCGCGGGCGCCCTCGAGTCGCGCGCGGAATCCGGAGTCCGCCGAGCAGAGACCCAAGTGGCACGGTGCATTGGCTAAACATTGGTCCAATGTTGGTTACATTAGACACGCATTGGTCGATGTTGTGCAACGTAGAGCCAATATTGGCCATGATATAAATGTAAATATTGCACGATAATAATTATATAACATTACATTTATATTGGAAGTGCATTGGCCAATATTTAACAATGTGATAACAATATTGGTCCAATACCGATGCTAAATAGACATATTGGCTAAATAAGAGAAGGCGTCCATCTTACAATATTGGAGCAATATTGGGAACACTAGATTTACATTATTTCCCAATAATGTGCTACTAGGGGAGCCTCGCGCGATGGGGAACTTTTCCTGTTTGACGCGGCTGCTCGTGGAAAGAGACACGCAGGCGGGAAAGGCAGCCGGAGCCGAGAGCGACCGTCGCCAGCGGAATGCTGGCTCCGCGCATTCCTCGCCGATTCATTGATAACCCCAGACCGGGCGCACGCGGGCGCACGCTCACCTGGTTACGTCACTGCTCGGCGCGGACGACGGGCTGAAAACGCGCGGACCAGTTTCAGCGTAATCCTTTCGTGGAAATGCCGCTGCGCTCGCGGTTACGTTCACCGAATAAGTCCCGCGTTGTCCCATCGTATCGCAAATTTGCATGTCGCGCACCCCGGGGACTCGTTCGGACAAGTCGCGCGAGCGGAGGTATATGAAATGTATGAAATATACGAAGGCGAATCCGTACGCGCGCGATGATATTGTACGTGCAATGTCCAATTCAAACACAAACCCACACATACAGCGCACAAATCTCCAAGGGAACGTCCTAGAGACGTCCCTCGGAGGTTCATGCTGTGAGAGTCGCTTTAGTACTCAAATATCTTCGTGTCGCTTCCGCTTCGTGTCGACTCGCGTAAAGAATTATCTAGCTTCACGATGAAATATATGAAATACACGAGAACGATCAGTGCTTGACAC